TGTAATCCCAGAGACCGCGTCTGTGTTAGCTAGACCTTTCAACGAGTTCAAAAGCTTCGAACGTGTACTAGAATTCTATAAAGATAGTGATGAGGAAAGGTCCAGGGAGTGTCTACCATGGAAAATACTCAAAGGGCAATTTCATAAATATCCAATTCCTCATGTAATTGAAGGTACCTGTGTCTTCCTTCTCTTATGTCTCCACAACTAAGTTTAGCTTCTAAGTACTTGCTAAGGTGAAAAAATGGGTACTAATTGTGAACCTTTTCGAGAAAACTACAGAAGATAACTCCGCATGGAGGTCAGATGAAGAGTTTGGACGTGAAATGCTGGCTGGCGTTAACCCTGTGATTATCCAGCGTCTACAGGTAAACATCATACATAAATCTTTCTTTCTTTTTTTTGGCATAACACATAAACGGACACTCAAACGTGGCATTGGTCACTCCAACTTTGAGTATGCACATCCAGAAACTTCAACTCATCTCAATTGTGTCAGTCGAACACTCTAACTTACAAAATGATCATCTAGACACCTCTAAAATTTATGTGTCAGGTCAACATAGGGTGTCCATGAGACACAGTAGAGACGAGTTGGAGTGCTTACTTGCAAGATGAAGACAAGTTCGAGTGTCTGTTTAATTATTGTAATTCTTTCACTCTGAATGATAAGTACTAAAAGACTAAATTCTTATCAGGAATTTCCACCCACAAGCAAGCTAAATCCTGAAGTATATGGCAACCACACCAGTAAAATAACAAGGGAGCAGATAGAGAAATACATGGATGGACTAACTGTGGATGATGTAATACTCTTTTTTATCTTTCTCTAGTGATTATCGTATTTATATGAAGAGAAAATGAAATAATTCTTTGTAACGGAACACTTATCATCTGTCTTTAGTACTTTAGATGTTATGTATTTACGCGATTACCTTTTGTGGACACAGGCAATAAAGAATGACAGGCTATTCATCTTAAATTATCATGACCTACTTATGCCATATATTACTCGGATTAACTCAACAACCACAAAGATATATGCTAGTCGGACCATCCTTTTACTCCAAGACGATGGAACATTGAAGCCACTTGCGATTGAACTGAGCCTGCCACATCCACAAGGAGAAAAACATGGTTTCACCAGTCAAGTATTTAGCCCAAGTAATGATGAGAGCGTCGAAGGCTATGTCTGGCATTTGGCCAAAGCTTATGTTGCTGTAAATGACTCTGGTTATCATCAGCTCATCAGTCACTGGTGCGCGACTTATAATTGTAGAATTTAGATGCATGTTAATTACCTCTTGAACTGACTATTGATTTTGCTACTTTTTGCTTCCAGGCTGAACACACATGCAGTGATAGAGCCATTCATTATAGCAGCAAACAGACAATTGAGTGTGGTTCATCCAATCTATAAGCTTCTACAACCCCACTTCCGAGATACATTGTACGTCAATGGTTTGGCTAGGCAGATCCTCATTAATGCAGGTGGAATACTTGAATCGACAGTATTCCCGTCCAAGTATGCCATGGAGATGTCTTCTGTCATCTATAAGAATTGGGTGTTCACTGAACAGGCACTCCCTGCAGATTTACTTAAAAGGTAGGACAGTATATAATCGTTACAACGACTTAAAACTCAATGTCATATCCATTTTGTCCAACAAACACTCATTTTTTCTGTTTCAATTACAGAGGAATTGCAGTGCCAGACTCAAGCCAGCCTAATGGCCTTAGACTTCTGATAAAAGATTATCCTTTCGCGGTTGATGGACTTGAAATTTGGTCAGCAATCGAAGCCTGGGTTGACGAATACTGTTCCTTCTATTACTCAACTGATGACATGATCCGTGACGACACTGAACTCCAGTCTTGGTGGATGGAAGTTCGCAATGAAGGTCACGGTGACTTGAAAGATGAACCATGGTGGCCTCAAATGCAGACACGAGCTGAACTCATCGAAACATGTACAATTATTATATGGGTGGCTTCTGCTCTTCATGCAGCTGTCAACTTTGGGCAATATCCTTATGCTGGTTACCTCCCAAATCGTCCAACAGTAAGTCGAAGATTCATGCCTGAGCCAGGCACCCCTGAGTATGCTGAGCTCGAGTCAAACCATGAACGCGCCTACCTAAAGACAATCACAGCTCAGCTACAAACTCTTATGGGCATCTCATTGATAGAGATGTTATCTATGCATTCTGAAGATGAGATTTATCTCGGGCAACGAGACAATCCTGAATGGACTTGTGATCGACAACCACGACAAGCATTGCAGAAATTCAGTGACAAGTTGGTTGAAATTGAAAACAGAATAATAGATAGGAACAATGACAATATATTGAAGAACAGAAATGGACCTGTAAAATTGCCTTACACATTACTATATCCAAATGCCACAGGTGACAAGAGTGCAACAGGACTTACTGGCAAGGGAATCCCCAACAGTGTCTCAATATGAAAGTTGCATCACATTGCAATGGTTTGTTGCATATGAAATCACACAACTTCAACACTCTTTCGTTTTAATTTGTTTGCCTTGCTTACTATTTGGACAGTCACATGACATTTTTCTTCGACAATGATTTATTTGAATACTTTTTGAATTATCAACTACTATGACTTATAGTATTTTTTGTGCAATTTCTAAATCTTTTAAGGAAAAATTACCTAAATACACCACTTATTTTATCATCTTTTTTTGAAATTTCCTACCATTTGAAAAGAATTACAAAAATACCTATTTTCCTCACTCTCTCTCCTATTCTCGGATGTATTTGTATCGGGACGCGATGTATCCAAGGGCAGAGCTACCGACACCTCTTAGTCCGAAAATTACATCGTATATATAGGTTAAAATTTGGTTTAATAAAACCTCCCTTCGTCCGGTATTGTTTCTCATGTTACGCTTTTCGAAAATCAATTTGATTAATTTTTAAAGTTTAATTAGATCACATTAATTCAATATTTTAAACAAAAAACTTAGATATTTTAAAATTATATGAAAAGTACTATAAATTGTAATTTTTTGCATATTAATATAATGAAAAAATACATCTTAAAATGTTAGTCAAAGTTTTTATAATTTGACTCTAAAAATAAAAATCGTGACATACAATACCGGATGGATTGAGTGTGTGTGTGTATATATATATATTTGTATTTACTATTACTAAAAGTGGGAAGCGCCAAATTTAAAAAAATTAGATTACCATTTTACCCCTAAGCTAAATTAAACATTTAGTTAATTAATAACTCATTAAATAATAATGTTTAATTATTATTTGAGTTGTTAGTTATTTATTAGTATAAAGACAATGAAAGAATCATAATATTTATTTTAATAGTATTTGACATTTCAATTTTTTATGTGACTTTTTATGTTTTCGTAATTTTTGTTCTATAAATTTAATTTCTCAAAAAAGACTTTTATTTATCCCTCGGCTAAATTACGCATCTAATTAATAAATTATTAAATAATAATAATTTAATTGTTATTTGAACTGTTACTTATTTATTAGTATAAAGACAATGAAAGAACCATTATATTTATTTTGGAAAAATCCATTTTGCCAGAAAATATGGTCAGAATATGGCCAGAATAACATTTTACTTATATTCTTCTATCTTTTTGAACATTTTTACTATTTTAACTTTAATATCTTTTAACTAAAAATGGAAAAAAGATTCATTTATTTTAAAATTGAAATTTTTTTTATAGATTATTTAATTTTCTGGCGAATTTTTCTGGTTATTTAGCATTACCCATTTATTTTAATAGTATTTGGCCTTTCAATTTTTCATGTGACTTTCATGATTCCGTAACTTTTATCCTATAAACTTAATTTTTCCAAGAAAGTTTTTTATTTACTACTCCTACAATACTTGTAAGTAGGTGCTCTAAATGGGTGAAATAATTTCACAATTTGTGGTGAAAGTTGCGAGATTCTCTTATACAATCATAAGAATAGACAAGAATTCAACTATTGAACCATCGGAGCTTGGTGTTTAGTTTTATACTTATTTGTAGTAATTAAAATTATAATAAGACTTTTATTCTAATCTCTCTTCATACAGTTGAATTGTTATTTTGTTAGCAACTTGCTTTAATTTTAAAATTTTATTCAGTTTTCATTGTACAAACAAAAGCAAAAAATAAAATAAAATTGCCTAATCGGCTTGCTCATGTGTATCTTTCTTCTCTCTTTTATTTTTTTTTATTCTTTCTACTTATAATTCTACATATACATTAACTTTCATCTTTAAGAATTAATGAAATAAAATGTGTACTTTTTTTTGGAAAAAGAAGAAGAAGGTGAAACATATAGCATTAGATTAATGATAGATAAGTTATATACGAAGAGAAAATTAAATTCTATTATAAAATAGTAGTTATGTTCATAAATATCACGATTTTCAAAATATAAATAATAAGACTTTTTACATCTTAGTTTTAAATATTTATAATCAGCTAGTTAGTTTAAAGTGTTTGTGGATAAAATCTTAAATCATTTTTGGTACAAAAAGCAAATAATCTCCTCTCAAACTTTTAATTGGAGAAACATTAATATTGTATGAATCTCATGCAATCTTTTGATCTTCTAACATTATTTTACAATCGAAAATGAATTTTTAAAACTATCGAGAAATTTAATTTAGATAATTGTTATCTTTTCCTTATTGCTTTACAAGCTTATTTTATTTACTTATAAATAGAGTTTATTTTATGAACTTCTTATATTATTATCTCGATGCATTCACTTGAAGTTCATGAAATTGGAGTGTCGCAATTAATAATAAAACAAAGTAAGAAATCTTAACTAGACATATTTTATAAAAAAAAAAAGCTCAAATTAATAGTATTTATTTTTTTAAAGAAATAATATATACCATTTAATAGAGGACAACATCTAATTAACTTTAAGACTGAAATTTGTGTAGTTTTACTTTTTTTTTAAAAAAAAATATCTTGCAATTCCACGAGACATCAATAATGGACGCTGAAATATTAAAAGATAGAATTACCAAAATAAATTACTCCACTTCATTTAAATAAAAATGTATATCAATACTATATAAGGTAACAATAAACATAAGACTAAATATCATTCTTTAATAATGTGTTGAACATTCTTCCAAGCAGCTCTTTATTAGCTTCAAATCTACATAAAATTCATCAAAATACATGTCAAAAATCGAGTGATATTAACATAAATAATTATCGAAATAAAATTATACCTTCTTTAAATTTCGAGCATCGTTAAATTCTTCAGAAGAAATATGAAGTTTACATTGTTTCAAACAATCAGAAAGACAATGAGGTGTTTTGCTTAAGAGACATGCAAGTACGCATTTTGCTCTACAAGAAATTTTTTCTTCACCAATAGCTTCAACATTTGTTGAAACAATCACAATGAGAAAAATTGTTAATAGAACTTTTGTGAAGCTCATGATTTATAAGATTAGAATATGTTTTTTTTTATTGTTGTAGCTTAGGTGTTTTGATTAAAGCAGAGTGATGTTATTATTTATAGCCAGAGTTTTCACTATAATTTATGACAAATTTGTTACTTTATTATTTGGTCATATTAATGTTTATCTTTTACCAAGCTGAAAAATAAAGATATTTAAATGTAATAATTGCAATGTGTTTGAAATGTCAAATATGTGTTTAATTGCATTAATGATATTTTTGACTTAAAAGAAAAATGAGATATTTTAGATATTTGTAAAATTTAATTGCATTAATGTCAAATATGTGTTTAATTGCATTAATGACATTTTTGACTTAAAAGAAAATGAGAAATTTTGAATATTTGTAAAAATTTTCGGGGATAATGGTAAAAAATAAATTTAAAAAATGAGATTTTCTGTAATTATTTTTAAATTTATAGGGAGTAATTCTAGAATTTGAGACCCAAGTCCTCGACATAAAAATGTATGTCCTGATCGTCAAATTTAACTTATTATTTTAAAATATTTTACAATCTCACTCGATTCTTAGACTTATATATATATATATATATATATATATATATATAC